TGTATCTTCTACCCATAGGCACGAAGAGGGCCACAGTGGGAAAGTGGAACCTGAGAATAGGAGCTGTAACTTTGGTTCTAACTCTGGTGCCTTCTTGGTCTTCGGGCAAGTCCCAGAGCATCAATTTCCTCATCTGTAAAATGGGGATCAGTCCTGTCTTCCTGGTGTTGTTATGGGGGTGTACGTCAGAAACTTTGAATTGCTAGCGAGATGAGAGTGAAGGCTGCTAATGTTCTCCCCAGGACTGTCATGAGGCTGCCTGATGATAACATACAAGAAGGGACCTTCATTGCTTATGTCTGTGTCCAGGAGCGAACAGACTCCCACCCCATCACAGTCCTGGAGGGGCGACTTTCCTCCTCTCTCATAATCCAGACCTCTCCTACTGTTCTCAGTTCCTCCCCTCTTTTATTAAGGGTTTAATAAGTAAACCAAAGAAAAATAATTCCTAGAAGTAGAAACATCCATCCCTCACAGAGAATTTGGCAGCTGAATGGATGGGACCAGAGTGCCCTCTGCTGGTAGCACACTGTCATCATCAACCCAGATTTCCCAGATAGGTTCAGATTGGGTAAAGTCACTCCATTCTCCACTGCAGACATTGAAAAAATAGCCTCAGATCACAGAATTTTAGAGCTCAGAGGCACCTATTGAGAACATTGGCCCAGATGTTCCTACCCCTTCATTTCTCATGTATAGTCATCATTTCCACCCTGATATTTCTCTAATCTTGCCTTTTTTCTCAAGCACCTAGGTTCAGATCCTACCTTTGATATTTGCTATGTGTATAACCTTGGGCAAGTCACTTAACTTTCTTAGTCCTCAGTTTCTCCAATCATAAAATGAATAAGATGGCCCCTGAGGTACCTGGTTCCCAATTCATAAACCTATGATCAGAAGCATATTATCAGATTATGAATTAAAAGCTGAAAGGTCACCTAGTACATACCTCTCATTTTACAGATTAGGAAATGGAAATCCAGAAGTGAATGATTTGATCGAGGTCATATAAGTAGTACATGGCTAGGCCAGGATTTGAACTTGGCTCTAGCCAGCTCTGAAGCAGGTACCCATTCCACCCTACCACACTGCTCTACTTTAATTGATACCACCCCAATAGAGACCCTAAAAGAAATACATTAACAACAGTAACTGTGAAAAAAATGTTAAAGCAAGTTTCTCTGATAAAGGCCTCATTTCTCAAACACATAGCAAACTGAGTCAAATTTATAAAAATAAGAGCCATTCCCCAGTTGACAAATGATCAAAAGATATGAACAGCTTTCAGATAATCAAAGGTATCTAAGGCCACATGAAAAAAATGCTCTAACTTACTATTGATTAGAGAAATGCAAATCAAAACAATTCTGAGATACTACCCCATACCTATTAGATTGGCTAATAGGACAGAAAAGGATAATGACAAATGTTGGAGGGGAAAATGAAATATTAATGCATTGTTGGTGGAGTTGTGAACTGATTTAACCATTCTGCAGAGCAATTTGGAACTATGCCCAAAGGGCTATAAAACCATGCATACACTTTGACCTAGCAACACCACTACTAGGTCTGCATCCCAAAAGAGACAAAAAAGGAAAAAGGAAAAAGGAAAAGGGCCTATACATACAAAAATATTTAGAGCAGTTCTTTTCTGGTGGCAAAGAACCAGAAATTGAGGGGATAATAATCAATTGGGGAACGGCTGAACAAATTGTGCTGTGTGATTAAGATAGAATACTACTGTGTTATAAGAAATGATGCTCTCAGAAAAACCTGGGAAGACTTACATGAGCCGATGCAAAGTGAAATGTACTTTGTATGAAGTAACAGCAATATTGTAAGATGATCAGCTGTGAATGACTTAGCTATTCTAAGACAACTGACAGACTTATGATGAAAAATGCTATCCATCCCCAGAGAAACCGGTGTCTGAATACAGATTGAAGCACACTTTTTAAAACTGTATTTTTCTTAGATTGGGTTTTTTTTTGGTCTATGTTTTCTTTCACAACATGACTAATATGCAAACGTTTTGCATGACTACACATGTACAACCTACACTGAATTGCTTGCCTTCTCAGTAGAGGGTGGTTTCAAAGTTTTAAAAATGAATGTTAAAAATTATTTTTGCATGTAACTGAGGAAAAATAAAATACTAAATAAAATTTAAAAATATATAGGCCCTAAAACCCCCTGCTCGGATTATTACAACAGCGATCAGGGCTTCCTGCTTCCACCTTGCCTTCTCACCCACTGCTCCTCCCCCTATCCTTCCATTATTCACTTGGCCAGAATTAGCTCCCTCATGCACAGATCAGTCATGCCACTCCTTTGTGCAAAACCTTTCCATGGCTACCTAACGTCAACCCCGGAGAGTAAGGTGCAATCTCTTTCGTTTGTGTTCAGGGCCCTACACAACATGGCACCATGCCCACCTCAAAAGTTATTGCTTCCTTCCCCATATTCTGTCCCAGCCAAATGGATAGCTCTCTGCACCCTGAACATGCCCTGCCCCTAGACATGCCAGAATGTCTTCCCTATTCACCTGCTGGATTCCTACCCATTTTTTTTTTGGCTAGGCAGTGGGGTTAAGTGACTTGCCCAGAGTCACACAGCTAGTAAGTGTTATGTGTCTGAGGCTGGATTTGAACTCAGGTCCTCCTGAATCCAGGGCTGGGGCTCTCTCCACTGTGCCACCTAGCTGCCCCCCCCCCCATTTTTAAAGCCCAACTTAAACACCATCACTTCCAGGATCTAGGTCTACCATCACTCCTGGATTCCCTTGACTGGTGACAACCTAGGTCCACTCTTGTCTCCTCTCAGCCTCCTGATTGATCTCCCTCCTTCCAGTTTCCCCCCTCTCCAGTCCTTTTCCATATAGCTGCCTAACGTTGATATTCTTCTAACACAGATCTGACCGTGTCGCTTCCACTTCTTCAGAGGCTCCCTATTACCTTGAGGATAAAATCTTTGACTTCTCCGCCTGGTTTATAAGGCTCTCCACAATCTAGGTCCCAGCCTAGCCTTATCTGTTCTCATTTCCCTTCAAGTACTCTCTGTTCCAGTCAAACCGGCCTGCCAGTTCCTGCTCACCACATTCCGTCTCTACCCTCCAGGTCTTTTGTAGAGGTGATGAAGCATGTCTGGCATATTCCTCCTCCTCCTTGTCTCTTAGAATTCCTAGCTCCCCGAAGGCCCAGTTCAAGTGCTTTTAGGTACTCCTATAGACCTTTCCTGAACCTCGCCGTGGTTAGGGTTGCCTCAGAATGCACCAGTGGTTAATGTTAACTATGAAACCTACAGTGGTTAATGTTGACTCTGAACCTCACAGTGGTTAATGTTCACTGCTCTTGAAATTCTTTTCTATGTAATTTTGTTTACTTATCTGTGCAATCATTGAACCTCTACCCCCACCCCCAGCAAATTATAGGCCCCTGGAGGGCAGGATCTCTTCCTTTTTCGTTGTGTTCCTTGTACAGAGCAGGAAGTTAGTAAACGTTGGTTGAATTGAATTAAATGCATTGTGATTTTATCACTGTTGTCCTTTTGGGCAGCTTCAACAAATATTAGTATTTACTATGTGCAGGACTCCAAGTCATTGAGCATACAAGGAAGTATGAGAAGGAGAAGGGAATAAGCATTTACTAAGCATCTACTATGTGCCAGGCACTATGCTATGTGCTTTTGATCCTCAAAATAACTCTTTGAGGTAGGCACTATTATTATCCCCATTTTACAGTTAAGGAAACTGAGGCAGGCAGCAGTTAAGTGACTCGCACCGGGTCACACAGTTAGTAAGTGTCCGAGGCCACATTTGAACTCGGGTTTCACTGACTCCAGGCCCAGAGTTCTATGCACTATGGCACCACCTAGCCACCTCCGGTATAAGACAAAAGCCTATGCCGGAATTAACAGGGAAACAAAGTATATAGACAAGGATGATGCCTGTTCTAGAACCTGGGTCATATAAGGATTAGTTAAAGGAACTTGGAACAGCTAGGTGGCACCCTAGTGCACAGAGCATTGGGCCTGGAGTCAGGAAGACCCTTCTTCCCGAGTTCAAATTTGGCCTCAGACACTTACTAGCTGTGAGATCCTGGGCAAGTCATTTAATTCTGTTTGCCTCGGTTTCTTCATCTGTAAAATGAACTGAAGAAGGAAATGACATACCACTCCAGTATCTTTGTCAAGAAAACCCCAGATACCAGCCTCAGACACTTGACACTTAACTAGCTGTGTGACCCTGGGCAAGTCACTTACCCCCGATCACCTCACCAAAAAGCAAAAAAAGAAAACCCCAGATGAGGTCATGTAAAGTCAGACACGACTGAAAACGACTGAACAATAACAAAAAGGAATTTGGGGTGCTTACCCTTGAGAAAAGAAGGCTCTGCTGACAGCCCCAATCTTCAATGAGCCCTCCTGCCCCTAAAGTCCTGAATCACTTACTACCTACCTGCAAGGGCAGGGTGGCCAGTGGAAAGAACACAAGATTAGAAGTCAGAAGGCCTGGGTTGGGAGCCCAGTTCTGACACTTCCCAGCTGCGTGACTGTGCGGGGAGCTGATGACCTCTGTGCCTCAGTTTACAGTTTGCTGGATAACCTGTGTACTCTCACCTCACAAGGTTGTCATTAGAACACCTGTCTGTGCAGTGATTTGCACAGTGCCTGGCACATAGTAGGCACTTAATAAATGCTTCCTTCCTTCCCCATAAACAGAAGCTATAACACATTATCACTTGGCACAGATTCCTAGGAACTGTCAATAACATGGGCAGTTTGTCTCTCCTGCTAGGCTGTGGGCATCCTGAGGGCAGGAACCATGCCTTACTCATCCTTGCATCCCCTTCGACACCTAACCCAGCTCACGGCTTGGCCCATAGTACACGATGAACACATATTCACAGAATTAGTGAATGAATGAACAACTATCTTTTCTAATGCAAACATTAACTGGGTCTTAGAAGAGCTGGCCTCATGGCCACAGACAGCTTTCCTACCTCAGTTTCAGGCCGTGGGATGAAGACTGGAGGCGCCATCTTCAGAGTGAGGCCCTGAAAGTCCCATTCACCAATGATGTATTGCACGGGCATCCTGTAAAAGAGAAACACCCTAAAGACCTGGCTTGGCCCACCCCACCCCAAACTACGGATCCCCCAAAGTCAACAATGTGGCAGGAGACATAGGCACACCCGTGTAGCTACCAACCCCAAAGGAGAACAGTACCAGGGGAACAACGTTCTGATGGAGCTTATGGGCAGGTTTGGGTGTCCCTTCCTCCCTCCCAAAACAGTTTCCCAATTCAAACCAAGGGCTCCCTCAGGGAAGGGTCGCATCTCCCCAGTAAGATCAGGAACTCCCCTGGGACCTTACTCTACCAACTCCCCTAGCCCTCTTAACCAGGCTAGGAGGAGGAAAAGGGGAAAGGACTAGAGACACTGGGAGGGAGAGACAAAGGGGGAGGTAAGGATCAGGAAGGAGAGACACAGGTGATGGGCCTGGCTCTGGCCGTGTCCCACCTCTGAAGCCTCTGAGTGCACAGCTCTCCAATCTGCTCCCGTTGAAGGTCAGTGATGGAGGTGGATCTCTGGCTGGCCAGCAGGCTCTGAAACTAACCATCAAATAACTGTGAGCCGAGCTTTGAGCTCTGTGACCCTGGCCACCACACATGCCCATCCCTTGTGGAGGGCCTGAATGCAGATTTGGGGTCTGTGTGATTCTTAGCAAGTCTTTCATCTTTTTGGGCCTCAGTTTTCTTCACAAGTCAAACTCAAGCTTCTCAGAGCCTTCCAGGATCCAGAAACTCACCCCTGGGCAGAGAAGGGAGGCTGATGCCTGACTATGGGTCAAAAAGAGGGGGGAAGAAAAAAGAGCTAGAGAATGGAGGCCCACAGAGTGGGACTGAGTGCCTCCCAATTCTCATGGCTCCCAGCCTCCAGCTAGCCAGGTAAAGAGTCCAGACCCTCTCCTTTTCTTCAACAGCAATCTGAGCTGGAGAAGGTCTGGATTCCTCTATTACTAACATCCCCTCTCTCCCTGCTCCACACACATCCAAAGGATGAAACCAAGGCTAGGTTATACATGATCATCCATCCCATCTACATGGTCCAGCCCTAGTATTAAAAACATGGGGGCTGAGAGACATCATTCAATACAAAATAAGTTTCAAGAAGCTGCTTCGCTGGGCAGAGAAGGGTAGGGAAAAGACCACTGGATATTTGGGGTCAGAGGTTGTGATTTTGAAACCCTGGATCTGTCATTGACTACCTACAGGCAATTCCTGCCGCCAAAAGGGGTAAAAATATTTTTAAATTATTTAATTTATTTTTAGTTTTCAGCAATCACTTTGATAAGCTTTTGAGTTTTAAATTTTCTCCCCTTCCCTACTCGCCTCCCTCCTCAAGATGGCATGCAATCTGGCATATGCTCTACATCTACATTTCTATTAAACATTTTCACATTAGTCATGTTGTAAAGAAGAATTAGAACCAATAGGAGGAACCACCAGAAAGAAGAAACAAAACACAATGGAAGCAAAAAAAAAAAAAGAGCAAATAGTAGGCTTTGATCTGCATTCAAACTCCATAGTTCTTTCTCTGGATGTGGGTAGCATTTTCCATCATGAGACTTTTGGAGATGACTTAGATTCTTGCATTTCAGCTAGATAATCTTAAAGAATCTTTCTGGGTCTAAATTCCATGAACCCCAAAGAGGTGGAAGGGGGCCGTCAGAGGTTACACAGACAATAAGCCACTTACTCCTCCCATGAAGAGGGTCTTTGGCTGATGCCGTGGGACTACAAAGATGCCTAAGTCACAGTCCCTGGCCTCAAGGGGCTTAGAGTCTAAGACAACCACCCAAATGAGTATACTAAAAGGCAGACCGTGGCTCCTGGTGCAAGAGATTCCAAAGGAAGTGCTCTGGAGGTAGGAGACGATAATGGGGAAGCAGGGAAAGCTTCCCGGAAGTGGTGGCAACTGATCTGGGCCTGAAAAGGAAGGGGAATTCTGACAGACAAAACTGGAAAAGTAAGAGAGAAGAGCGTGCCTAACTTTCATTATTAAGTTGTTAAAATTTTGCATTTCATATGTGTATTTATACCATATTGCCTTCTCAATGGGTGAAGGAGAGGTGGGAACTCAAGGTTTTTTAAAAATGAATGCTAAAAATAAATAAAGGGGCTCTTTTTTTTCCTTTTTTTAAAAGTTCTTTTAGAACAATCATCCATGAATTTATCTAAACTCTTCCTGGACAGATTTTGGATTTAACCTATTACCCCAACACTCTGCCCTGGTGGAAAGTCTGGAACCTGCCTGGGGTCCATGAACTTAAAAAAATTGATAAATATTTCAATATAACTGGTTACCTTTGAAGTCCTATGTATTTCATGCTTTTAAAAACATCATTCTGAGAAGGGGTTCATAGGTTTCACCAGCCTGCCCAAGAGGATGGGGACATTGTTTATATTTTCATTCCCGGTGCTTAGCATAGTACCTGGTACGTAGTAAGTACTTAATGAATGCTTGCTGACATCAAAAAAAGGCTCAGTACTCCTGCTACAGACCCACCATGTGTGCCTCTGGCCACTGTGAGGCTACTGCCTAGGGAGAAGGGCATGTGAATGCAGAGGGCAAGAGGTTTGCCCAAAGGTGGCTGGGCTGTGATTACCGAGCCTGGCACTGGTTGGGTCATCCTGGCCTTCTTGTTGGGAGATCAAGGTCCTTCAAGGGAGGGATCACTAGCCACCCTCTAGGATGAAGGATCCGAGTAGGCTCTGTCCCCATCCAAGGCCACCCACCATGGGCAGTGATAGACCAGATGCATCTCCCAGGCTCTGTCCTCAGAGGGGGAGCTTAGGAGAGTCAGCACAGCTTCATCAAGAACAAGGAAGTCGTGCCCGACTAACCTCATTTCCCTTTCTGACAAGGTTATCAAAATGGCAGCTGGGGGAGTGCCATAGAGCCACTAACCTAGATTTCAGCCTCACCTCTGACAAAGTCTCTCACACTGTGCTCGGCAACAGGACGGAGAAATGTGGGTTGGACGTCAGCATGATTAGGGGACCTGGAAATGGCTGAATGGCCGGCCAGCCATGAAGAGAAGCCATTAAAATCCAGTAGGGAACAATTATCATCAAATCAACTCCACCTTGATAGGAGGGCTTTAATGGAAAATCCCAGGGATCTGTCCTTGGTTATTTCTTTCAATGACTAGGAAAAAAAGCATACATTTATCAGGCTCCGTAATTCTTCAGTGTCTCAGGCCCTATGGTGCCTTTTTGTGCCAAAGAATCTGTGGCCAGCCATCAATCCAGCCCCCTGGGGTTGAAACTTCGGAATTCTTTTCCACTCCTCTCATACCCAATCAGTTAACAGTCTGATTGATCCACCCTCCAGGGTTATGTATTTTTCTTTATTTTATGGGGGGGGTTTTGGTCAATGGTTAAAGTTTACAATAACAAGTTAATTTTAAAACATCTTAAGCAGTTCCTTATGGTCTAACACCTCATCCTGGCATTCAATGCTCTTTACAATCTAGTGCCACCTTTAGCTCACAGCTGGAAGAGACCTTAGAAGTCCTCTAGTCCAACCCTTTCTGAGGCCCTAAGAGACTAGCTGAGACAGGATTTGAACTCATGTCCTCCAACTCAGAGTTAAGTGCTCTTATCAGTGTACCACGTTGCTCTCTAGCCTTAGCTCACATCATTGTCCAGCATGTACCTAGCTCCTGCAACCAAGGCTACTGCATAATAGCCAACACATCCGCTGCTCTCCTCCCTCAGTTCCCTATTCCTGGAACGTGCGCCTTTGCCTGTAGAATCCCTACCCACCCCTTCATACTCAACTCAAAAACTACCCTCCCTCCATGAAGGAAAGAAGTATTTATTCAATGCCTGATAAGTACCAGGTACTTTACAAATATTAGCTCACTTGAGGAGCCTTCCAGGTCCGGCGCTATGATTCTGTGATCCGAAGATAGATTTCTCCTGACTCCAAGTCTATTACACCAGGGGCTCTTAACCTGGGGTTTTGGGGTGGATTTCAAGGGGCCTGTGAACTTAGATGGGAAAACAAAATCACATCTTTATTTTCACTGACCTCTAAGTGAATTTATAGCATTTTTTTCCAATTATGAATATAGGTAACAAGTCATATTCTAGGAAGGGGTCCATACAGACTGCCAGAGTTTGGGACACACACACAACTGGTTAAAAACCCCTTTACTGCACTGACGCAGGTTACAGTTATCTGAAACAGTGCAAAGAGATTTGGACGCAGAACACCTGGGTTCAGATCTCCCCTTTGCCACTCACTACCTTTGTAACCTTGAACAATAATGATAATAATAGCTAGAACTTATGTAGCACTTCAAGGTTTGCAAAGTGCCTTATTACAAATATCATCTCATTTTATCCTCACAACAACTCTGGGAGGTAGAAGTTATTATTATCCCCATTATTATGTCTATATCATTATTATTCGCATTTTGAAGTTGAGGAAACTGAGGCAGAAAGTTAAGTGAATTGCCAAGGTCATACAGTTAGTAAACGTCTTAGGCAGGATACAAACTCAAATCTTATTGAATCCATGTCCCCCACTCTTATCAACTGTACCATCTAGCTCCCTAAGTCTCTTAACTTTCTTGGCCCCAGTTTCTTCTCTGTAAAATGGAGTGGTGGAGTAAAGCTACATGGCCTCTGAGGTCCCTCCAAGGTTCAAGATCCTATGAAGACTGAATATCCGTCTTGTTTTCCCAATAATCAATGAAAAGGAGTTTATTTAATGTCTACTATGTGCCAATCACTGTGCTAAGAGCTAAGAATACAGTTAGAAAAGTGAGACTATCCTTACTCATGTTGTAATTGGGGGAGCAAGGGGAAAGGGATAGGTGGGATGATAAAAGCGAGAGTGGAGTGGTCAGAAGCTAAACAGACTTTAGAGAAGGGTCAGCATAAAATGAGAGAGAGAAGGGGGCAGCTAGGTGGTGAGTGCATAGGGCTTTGGCCTTGGAGTCAGGGGGACCTGAGTTCAAATCCGGCCTCAGACTCTTGATACTTACTAGCTGTGTAACCCTGGGCAAGTCACTTGACCCCATTGCCCAGCCAAAAAAAAGAGAGCAGGATAAATAGAAGATAATAGGATGGAGGGAAGCACACAGTTAGTAATCATAGAGATGAATGTGAATAGGATGAATTCACCTACAAAACAGAAGTGGACAGTAGACTGGATTAGAAACCAGAATCCAACAATATATTGTTTACAAGAAACATACTTGAAACAGAAATACACACACAGAAGGCTGGAGCAGAAGCTGATGCTTCAGCTGAAGTAACTGAGGGGGCAAATTCCCATGGGAAGGGTCAGCTATACAGCAGGCGACAAGGCCCAGTGGTCCTTAGAACGCATTGGCAGGTCAGACGGCAGTGCCTGTGGGTCAGCTGGGCCGACAGCAAAGTCCGGTGGCCCTCCATTTTATGGGGAGGATTATGGCTAGCGGCTCCCTGCTTATCCAAGCAGTATGAGAAGCCATGGGGCAGGAAGGAGCTGGGAGGAACGCTGGAAGGGAAGGGGCCAAAAGGCATGAGCTCCAGGTGGGCAGAGCCCAGCCCAGCTCTACCTGAGACCGCTTTGGAGGGAGCTAACGCAGGGTGGTGGATGGCGTCTCCTCTCAGTATCCCCAGCAGATGGGCAAAGTGCACTGAGCAGAACAGGTGCTTAAATTCCATTTCCTTCGGGCCACCAGGGTCATTAGCTGCTAATGAACTGAGGGAACTGTTTTAAATCAACTGGTTTAAACCCACCCAGCAGAGGGGTTTTTGCCAGAAAGCACTGCATGGCTTGGAAAGGCAGCAGAGGTGGGGAAGGTCGAAAGAAGGGCAAAAGCTAATGGGGGAGAGATGGAGACAGAGACAGAGACAGAAATAGCAAAGATAGAGACATAGAGAGAGACAGAGAGAGCCAGAGAGACAGAAAGAGAAAGACAGAGACAGCAAAGACACAGAGAAAGACAGAGAAACAGACGGCAGAGGTAGAAGTACACAAAGAGAGACAGAGGGACAGAGATAGCACAGAGAGAGAAAGAGAGAGAGAGAGAGAGAGAGAGAGAGAGAGAGAGAGAGAGAGAGAGAGAGAGAGAGAGAAGAGAGAGTGATCCCAGGAGGACACATTGGGAAAAAAAAAACTTCTAATCTAGACAGACAGGCTGCGGAGTGAATTAAAGATCCTAGCATCTTCCTAAGGAAGTGAATGCAGGAGCAAGGGCTTCTCCCATCAACCACAGAGATGAAAACCTGGAGTATTACCATAAAGCTTCAAAGAGATCAGTGAAGGACCAGAGAAAGGAAGGATAATTTTATAAAGTGGGTTGTAAATTTATGAATGTTATCCAACAGATTTGGGAGAATCCAATTAGGAGGTGCCTACCTAGTACAAAACACTGAGGGTATAAAGACCACATTTAAAAAGCCTTTGCCCCCAATGAACTCTCTGCTGAGGAATGTGGTGTTTAAAGGAGCTAGGGTATGGGGCCTGGAGGAGACTTGGGCAGGCCCTGATTACAGCCTCCCGATATGTGAGGACTATTAAATCCCTCTATATTACAGGGCCACACTTCCTTCACATCCTTATGCCTTCGCTCCAGCTAAAGTGGACTGTTCTTTATTTTCTCTTACATACCCTGGATTTTCCTGCTTCCTTACCACTGCCCTTCCCCACGCCTGAATTGTCATCCCTTCTGCTCTCTGCCGGTTCAATGTTTATCCTTCTGTCAAAGCCCAACTCTGTTACCTCTCCTCCTCCAGAAAGCTGTTCCTGATCCCTCTGCTGATAACTATTCCTCCTCTCCACTGTGTCAGCACATCACATGGTACCCTGTCTTATTGCATACTGCAGTTATCTATATTGGTGTCTCATCCCCCTACAAGATTGTGACAGCTATTAAGGTAGGGACTGTCCTTTATCTAAACTTAGCATCTCCTCTACTATCTAACATAACATAGTGCTCTAAATGCAAAGTGCACCTAATGGGAAATGTGAATAAGCATTTATTCTTTTTTTTTTTAAGGCAATTGGGGTTAAGTGACTTGCCCAGGGTCACACAGCTAGCAAGTGTCAAGTGTCTGGTCTGAGACTGAATTTGAACTCAGGTCCTCCTGACTCCAGGGCTGGTGCTCTATCCACTGTGCTACCTAGCTGCCCCTTGAATAAGCATTTATATGGTACCTACTATGTGTCAGGTACTGTGCTTTACAGACATTTCACAAGAGCCTCACAACAACCCTGGGAAGTAGGTCCTTTTATTATCCTCATTTTGCAGTTAAGGAAACTAAGGTAGAGAGAGGTTAAGTGACTTGCATATGGACGCACAGCCTGTAAACATATGAGGCTGGATTTGAACTCAGGTCCAGCTTCAGACATCTATTAGCCATGTGACCCAGGGCAAGTCACTTAACCCTGTTTGCCTCAGTTTCTTCATCTGCAGAAGAACCAGGAGAACACTGTACACAATAACAACACTGTGTGATGATCGACTTTGTTAGACTCAGCTGTTCTCAGCAATGCAATGATACGAGACAACTCCAAAAGACTCACGAGGGAAAACACTGTCCACAGCCAGAGAAAGAGCTATGGAGCCAGAATGCACATCGAAGCACACTACTTTCTCTTTTTTTGTTGTTGTTTTTTTGTGTTTTCTTCCTCATGATTTTCCCCTTTTGTTCTGATGCTTCTTTCACAACATGACTAATGTGGAAATATGGTTAATGTGATCACACATGTATAGCCTTTATCAGATTGTATGCCATCTTGGGGAGGGGGGAGTGGAGGGAGGGGGGAAATTCAAAACTTAAAATCTTATAAAAGCAAATGCTGAAAACTGAAAATAAATTAAAAAATAAATTTTTAAAAAATATGTATTTCAGGGCAGTTAGGTGGTGCAGTGGATAGAGGTCCGGCACTGGAGTCAGTAGGACCCGAGTTCAATCCGAACTCAGACACTTGACACTTACCAGCTGTGTGACTCTGGGCAAGTCACTTAACCTCAATTGCCTCACCAAAAAAAAAAAAAAGCATTTCTATTTTGACCAGTTACATTTGTGATACTTGTGGAATATCTGGGTAGAGATGTCAAGAAAACAGTTGGAGATATAGAATTAATGCTCAGGATAAAAATTAGGAAAGAAAGGATATGCAAATCTTGAATACAGAATGATGATGGATGCATTCCTGGAAATAAGAAAGAATGTATAGAGAGAAAAGGGAAGATTCATTGGGGTTTTTGTTTTTTTTGAAGACACAGATTTTTAAAATACAGGCACCCTCCTGGAAAAAAAAATGAGCTGGAGAAGGAAATGGCAAACCACTCTAGCATCTTGGCCAAGAAAACTCCAAATGGGGTCAAGAAGGGTCAGATATGACTGAAATGACTCAAGAACAACTTCTTGACCCAAGCCTAGCGCTCTGTCTACTGTGCCATCCATCAGCTTCCAGGCCTAATCAATGTTGCTTGAATTTAACTGAACATAGGAACAGATTGATTCCATGTAACCCTACATAACAGACTTAGAGGCAGTGGGTGGTACTCACAGGCAAACAGATGTTAGTGGAGGACAGGGAAGACTTTGCTACTAGGCAGAGGATGGGGATGTTGCAGATGGAATTCCTGCTTTGGATGAGGCTTAGACTAGATGACCATTGACCATCCAAGTCTCTAGCAGCTCGAAGGGTCTATAACACTAAATAATAAAGGTTGAAACTATAAATAAGTTCAGAAAAAGTAAAAAAGGCCCCCCTCTTGCTCTAACATTCTGTAACCCTCCCAGTTAACATTAGTAGTTTTTCCTAATGAGTAAGCTGAGTGAGCCTTGTGCAGACATTTTGTACAAAAAATGAGTTCAGACTTAGGTCAGGCCCTGGATTAACTGTGAGATGATTTTCCCCTAAACTCCAAACTAATCTGTAAGCTCTTTGTGGACAAGGACATGTCACACAGTCTTACCACATCTCATGATGGTTAGCAGGATGCCAGCCCCACAGTGGACCCATAGCTAACTGGGACTAGAAGAGACCTCAAAAATCATCCAGGCCAACCCTTTTGTTTTCATTTTACAGCTGGGGAAACTGAGGCCCTGGGAGAGAGAAAAGATTTACTTAAGGTGATGCTGCTTGTCAGTACGAAAGATCTAGTCCACAAGCATTTATTAGGTACTTACTAGGTATTAGGCAGGCACTATATTGGGTATTAGGGATTCCAAGACAAAAATGAGAAGTCTCTGCCCTTGAGGAGCTACCTCCAGTGTCTACAACAATGAAGGCCTCTAATAGATGCCTGTTGACTGACTGAGAGAAATACAGTGTTCCTTGCTTTCAAGGAGCTTATATTCTCCTGGCAGGAGTACATACCTGTTGAGTAGATAGACAAATTCTGCTCAGAAGACAGCTCCCCCTATTTACCTTTCTCCCTCCCGCTCTGTCCCTGGAGGGGGGAGGTCAGGGGATTATCTGGATCACTGCCTTCTGTTTAGAAGCAAACTTAACTGTTTTGGCTCCAAGCACATGAGCCACGATGTACTCGCTGGATTCCCGGGCTTCGGGCACTCCCCTCTCCTCAAACAGCTGTGCCCAGTAGTTGACCAAGGCTGTCGCTGTCACCGATGGGGCTCTGCAGCCACTGACTGGCCTCAGTGGCAGCAAAACAGGAGGAGAGAGGAGTCCTCCCTTCCATTTCAGCCCTCTAGGTGCGAGGCCCCACGGCTTCACGCGCCAAAGCCACATGTCTTAGGGGAACAGCATCTGCAGCTGGCGTGGTGGCCACGGATTAAGGAGCTCTAGCCTGTGATTCTCTGTTGACCTGGGGCTGGGGAAGAGAGACAGACACCCCCACCCCAAGAGCTTCAGACAGAATCTTTCACCTCTAACCACCTCTGGAACATCCCCTCCTCCATCCATCCCCGACCACTCTTACTCCTGACCACCAGGTATCATCACTGCTCACCTGGATTGCTTCAGGTATCTCTGATCCAGACTCCCAGCACCCAATACCCTTCCCACACAGCCAGAGGAATCGTCCTTGCATGACCAGTAGTCACCATGCCTTTCTGGCAACAGAGGCTCCATAAATATGTGCTGGATGAATGCAGCGTGTAGCTGGGGCTAGGGGCTGTCACCCTCCCATTTCACAGACAGGGAAACCAAGACAGTCTCCCTTCCTCTCCAAACCCTGCCCACCTTTCACCGCCTAGCTTAGCCCTCCTCTCCTGGAAAGCCTTCCCCACCATGGGGATCCCTTCCTTTGATCACTATAGCCAACTCCTCTTATCAACAGCCAGGCTTTGCATCTGTGGTGCTCCTAAGTGTTTAGCTTATTCTCAGAACATCTAAAGTCTTTCATTATTATTTAGCTTTTCAATATACCTGCCTCCCCAAGCCAGACTGAGCCTTCCTCTGAGGGTTGGATATGGCATAGAAGAGGAGGAATCTAGAGGCAGCTAAGTGGTGTAATGGATAGAGCACCAGCCCTGAAGTCAGGAGGACCTGAGTTCAAATCTGGCCTCATAGACCCATAACACTTACTAGCTGTGTGACCCTGGACAAGTCACTTAACCCCACTGCCTAGCCAAAAAAACCCAATTTTTTTTTTAAAAAGAAGAAGGGGAATCTGATAATAATCAGCTGATGGGCTTTCCTAGGAAGGCATTAGGGTACTGTAGAAAGAATCCTGGTTCGATTTCCCAGGGCCCAGCTTTGTATCTCTACCCTGTCATGTTAACCTGGAGGCATCTTGGTAAGTCAAAAAATAGAATCTACATTCCAGTCTTGGCTCTGACACTTTTTGTCAATCTGGGCAAGTCACTGAAGGTCACTGCATCTTTTTCCCTATCTGTAAAATGGAGCTGATTTATCCTATCATTATCCTCTCTATACTGCTAATTACAAGCAAAGTATTTTCTAAAACTTAAGAGAGCTACACAGGGCAAAGTTATTCTGGTGAGAGCTGACAGAACTGACTCTGGAGTTGAGGACCTGGGTTCAAATTCTGCCTCTGAGTTTACTACCTGTATGACCTTGGACAAGTCTCTTTACCTCCCTGGATTTCACTATTCTCAACTGTAAAATGAGGGGTCTGGGGTCCCTTTAAGCTCCACAGGCCTTAAGGCAAACTGAAGTTTCTTAACGTAGGTTTCATAGAAGGGACCATAGCTAGATTTCATGAACTTGGATAGGAAAAAAATTACATCCTTATTTCTTAGTTTTCTTTGCAATCCTGGGCATTTTATTTTATGCACTTAAAAACATTATTCTGAGAAGCGGTCCTGAGGCCAAGGGGTCCAGGACACACAAAAGTTCTTAACTCCTCCTGTGAGGTCTCCCCCAGTTTGGGGGATGTGTCTGATCGGTCTCTGTCTAATCCGAAGTCAGATGCTGGAGTCTAACAATCAGAGTCCAGAGCATGAGACCCAGGGGGCTGGTGGGTCCTTTGAGAGCCTGGGGAGCAGCCAGGGCCTGAGGCCCTGGAGGCTGGCCCCAGACTGCTTTGGCCACCAGGGATGGGAAGGCTCAGATGAGCCAGGGGTCTCCCTAAAAGCCATCCCCACACCCCGAGACCCCAGGCCGCCCTTACCTGGACAGGCTGCTCTGGGCCCTGGCTGCTGAGGTTCTGGGGTCCCTAGGGCCGTGGGTACTGGCTCCAAACACCATCCTATGCCATTGCCACCCCAAGCCCACGCGTCCTTCCTTTCTTCCTGGAAGGGCAGTAGCCTCAGTGAGTGGCTCCACCCCCAAAGCCTCGGCTCTCCTCCTCTCTCCAGCTGGAGCGGCTTGGGGACCTGGAGTCCCCACCCTCCTCCCTTCTACCATCCAATCCTCTCCCTTGCCATCTCCTTCAAGAGGAGGGGCCTCCCTCCTGGCTCTGCCTCTGATGCGTAAAGGTCTGTGCTCAAGCCGGCGCCTGACCCAGGCTTATCTTGCGAGAGCTTGATTGGCCTGGGCTCCCACTGCGTCCTCGCTTCGATTAGCTCCCAACCTGGCTCAGTGCGCCTCTGCACTCCGCTGTCGGTGCGGGATAGTGCAGACACATCCGTGTTATCTGCATTATAAATCTACTGCCTCTATGTATATCTGAAATGGCAGGCTCTCCGTTTGGATGGTCCAGAAATGCCTTTGGCTATCCTGTGGAGGTGTTCGTGCATCCCCTGGAAACAGAAAGAGAAATTGAAACCCAAGAAAAGCAGGTTACTAGGCCTCCCTGGAGGGCGACAGCATTGGTGTGGGAAGAGAACACTCATTTATATTAAGCATCTACTACGTGCCGGGCAGTGTGTTAAGTGCTTTACAAATACTACTTCATTTGATCCTTAACAACCCCGGGAGGCAAGTGCTATTATTATATCCCCATTTTACAGTTGGGGAAACTGAGGCAGGCAGCGGTTAAATGACTTGCCCAGTGTCACACAGCTAGTGCCTTAAGACTGAATTTGAACTCAGGCCTTCCAAACTCCCTACCTAATGTTCCGCTGTGCCACCTACCTACCTTCACCAGGGCTTAGTGATGATGCCCAGCTCCTAGAGCTAACAACCACTAGACAACAATTCTTTGGTCTTTAGGCATATACCCAGAGAACCTTCCAGCTCTGGAATAGGTGTCCGGGAGTCTGGTTAAGCTCCAACCCCTTCTTAGTAACCACAGGCCCATTACAATTGCCCAGCTAGGTAAAGGAGCCCACTCACAATTTATTATTATGAATCTAATTCTAATCATCCTTTTCTCACCGGGGATCCTGGGATAAGTCACTATCCTGCTATTACTCTTTTACAGTTAATGTTCTTTTAGGACTGTGGGACAGGGGAACTACTTTTTGCAAACGAGTAAAGGTGCTGGGGGCAGCTAGGTGATGCCATGGTGTACAGAGCACCAGGCCTGGAGTCAGGAAGACAGCCTGAGTTCAAATTTGGCCTCAGACACTTATTAGCTGTGTGACCTTGGGCAAGTCACTTCACCCTGTTTGCCTCAGTTCCTTCATCTGTAAAATGAGCTAGAGAAGGACATGCCAGACCACTCCGATATCTTTGCCGAGAAAACCCCATGGACAATATGGTCCACCAGAGTAGTGAGAAACAATAAGAGTACTGAAATGAAAGGTCATGTTCTGAAGGCTCATTGAAAGCAGCTTCAGGAGAATTCTAATATCAAACAGAATGATGGGAATGATTCTGTTCCTCATCCTGGTGCCATATGGTTTTGATTTCTTCAGTTGGGTCTCTGTATTGTAAAAGCATTTTGTTTCCTTGTAGCGTGGAGATGATGTCTTTTAAAAACTTCCCTATATTATATTTAATGAAATTGTATCTGAGTGGAAAGAAACAAGCATTTATTAGGCACCTATTCTTTGGCAGGCACTTTACAAATGTTACCTCATTTAATCCAAACAACAACCCTTGGAGGTAGGTGCTATTGTTATCCCCGTTTTGCAGTAGAGAAAACTGAGGCCTACTTAGAGAGAAAGCGACCTAGTTGCGCTCACACAGCGAGGAAATGTCTGAGGCCAGCTTTGAACTCAGGAAGATGAGTCTTCCTGACTCCAGGCCCAGCGCTCTATGCACTATGGCGCCACCTAGCTGCTGCTGGTCTCACTCTTAGGAGGTGTAGACTAGACCTGTGATTTCGCTGGGTCACTTGGGGCTGAGGAAATTCCCCCTAGCAGTGTGAGTCAGCACCCTCTCTACAACTTAGAGCTTCAGAGAGCTGCAGGTCACAAGGCCTGTACGGGTCAGAAGCAGGACTCGAACCCTGATCTTTGGCTTGGAGGCCACTATATATCACTGTGGTAGTGGTGACTGCAGTGTTGGGCAGGGCAGGGGTAGAGGCAACTTACAGTCATTAACTATTTTGGGTTTGGAGGCACTCTACAAACATTTTCTGTTCAGTCATTTTCAGTTGTGTCCAACTCTTTGTGACCCTATTTGGGTTTTCTTTTGTTTTGTTTTTGTCAGATACTGGAGTAGTTTGGCTTTTCCCTCTCCAGCTCATTTTACAGATGAGGAAACTGAGGCAAACAGGGTTAAGTGACCTGCCCAGAGACACACATCTAGTAAGTGAGGCCAGATTTGAACTCACAAAATTGAGTTCCACTAAGGTCCTAGCCACCCTCTACAAAAGCCTCACAATATCCCTGTAAGGTGACCCCAAACCCTCCAGAGGAAGGGGGTGAGCCCTGAGCAAGTCACAGAGAGAAGAGGCCTTATCTAGTAGTCAGGTTAGCTCTGAGTGATTCACTCTCACTGAGTGACCCTGGGCAGACCCCTTCTCCTCTCTGGACTTCACTTTCCTTCTCCGTAAAAGGAGGGGACTGAACTAGTGAGCCCTGCAAAAAGGCATCCTAATGAACGTCGGCTCTGCCACTGACTCATTGTGGTTTGAGGAAGACGCTTACTAGCTTGTAATAGGATTAATGGACCTAAGTGTATAAAGAGATCTTGCCCATCCCCTTTCTGGGTGTCAGCTTCTTTCTCGGTAAAGTGGGGGGCAGGGGGTTAAACTAAAGAGGCACTGGAATTTAAATCAGGGGTTCTGGGTTTGCATCTCCACTCTGCCACGTTATTGGTACATAAACTAATCTTGGGCAGAGCCTTGGTCTCCCAGTCTATGAGGATGAGAAGGCTGGATAAGAGGATCTCTAAGGGCCCTCTCTGCTCTCACATGCTATGATTCTAACATTAGCCCAACCCTCAGGCCTGGATGGAGATCTGTGATTTGGTGGATGCCAGCCCATGCCCTGCCGGTTCCCTACCAGCATTCCATAAGGGATGCCAGCTCCTCCTGCCACAAATCCAGTGCTGATTCTGCCTGGCTAGCACGGCACCGGGCAGGAGCAGAGGAAGAGTGGCAGGCTAAGGAGCCAGTCCTCAGCCCTAGTCCAGTCTGGCCACCAATCCCCAGGCAGGGCAGGAGGAGAAGGGGAGGGCCTAGGTCTGAGAGCTGGGGAGGCGGGACCAGGTACTCCAAGCGTTTCGGAAAATACAATGCAAACAAACGCGCTGACAGCTGCGCCTGCTCCCCGGGCCTCGCTGGAGCCTACTCAGGCCCTGGCATCGGCGCTGCCAAGCCCATCAGGCCGGGGCATGGTGCCAGGCTGCCCTCTGCAGAGCCAGCGCCTCCCGGTCTGCTGAGGTCACTCGCCTAGTCGGTGCCCTCTGGTAGGAAGGCAGCATCCCTCACCCTCACCTAACCCGCTGCCCCCTCTCTGCCCCGTGCCCTAAGGAGCAACCCAGCTGCAGCCAGGGCTCCTCTGCACCTGGCTTTGCAGCTAGGGCAGCCGGGCAGGCAGGTGGGCAGGCAGACGGTCGGGGAGGGGAGAACCGCGGGCAGGGGGCTCTCACATCCCCCCCGCTCCTGGACCAGCCCTGCAGCCCTTCGTAGACCGAAGCCAACAGCTGGAAATCCTTAAGAGAGTGCCTTAAACGGAAACCAAGTAAGTGCCGATCCTCTCCTTTTTATTCAAGCCCTTAAGATCGGAGGGGAGGCTGGGTGGGCAGGAGGCAGGCACACAGAAGGAGAATATGAGAGAGGCTAGGATGGCAAGGGGCGGACCCAGGGGAGGCAGGCAGAGAGGTTGGCAGGTCTGGGGGTGGCACAGGAGGGAGAGGCAAGAGGAGAGGGTGGCAGGACTGGGGGTGGATGCAGGGGAGAGGGCAGAAGGGGAGGCTGGGAGGGAAAGGGGCTGGTACGGGAAGAGGACGGGAAAACTGGAAGGGAAGGGAGAGGCATGAAGGAAGGCTGGGATGGCATGGGATGACACTGGGGAGGGGAGCCTAATACTATATTATCCCATATTGGCACATATAAGATAATATAGTATCTTATGTTGGCACAGGGTTGTATATAGCTTACAGATACTTTCACAGGTATTGTGGTTACTTGGATCTTCGCAAGACAAGGCAGATGTTGTCATCCCCATTTTACAGATGAAAGACGTTGAGACTTGGTCAGGTGACCTGACTTGCCTCTGGTCCCATAATGGGTCGATGGCAGACCCAGGTCTTAGTTTTTGTAAGCTACTTGAAGTGGAGAATTTGTCTTCTCTGAACTATATGTCTCCCCCAACACCTCACACAGTGCTCTTCAAAACCTTAGGCACTAAATGTTTGTTATGTTGGATGACACAGAATCATCAGATTTTAGAATTGGGAAGGACCTTGAGATCACATATCTAGTCCTGTCCCTCCTCCCTCATTTTGGAGGCCTCCCCAGAGAAAGAGAGTAGTAACAATAGTAACTTATTGTCGTCATAATCACCCCTGCGAGGCAGGTAAGGCACGTACTCTTTCTTAATCATGTCATACAGGTGAGGAAAATGAGTCCCAGATAGGTAAAGCAATTTGTCTGAGGTCACACAGCAAGTGCACTTGGCAAGAGCCCAGATCCCCTGACCCCCGAATCCTAGATCTGTTTCTCTTCCATTTGGAATATTAGAATGGGGAGAGTTTGGAGAGGGGAGGAGAGTTAGAAGGAATAGGAAGGAGAGGGAGTGAGACAGCAAGGGGGATAGGAAAGGAGGATGGCATGGTAGGAACCAGATGGGGGGGGCAACCAGAGAAAGAAAGAAAAAGAATAGGGCAGGAGAGAAGATGTAAAATGTAGTCGAATCCAAAGTACTGGATTAGGAATCAGAAATCTTGGGTTCATATCCTATCTCTTCCAGTTACCTTGGCTGG